ATTTACCAAATAGTTCTTCGCTAGGATGCGTTTTCGTCCTGACATAATGTAGCTCCTACGTTCAACCTTAAGGAAACGGACTACTTCTGAGCAGTGACCTGGTCAACACGCAAGCTCTTTTTCAACTCTGTCCTGCGCTCACCTTTTATCAGGACTAATGCAATTTACGATATGAGAGCGCCTTCCTCAGCCCTGCTATACAAGATCAATTTCATGTCTAATTTATGCGGGAAAAAGTGATGGCAGCCTCTATCACAAATGATTTGAAGGCAGCTTTAAAAGTAAGAAGCTATAAAACTTAAAGACAAATTCCTTCTACAAAATTTTTCTTGCATAAAGTGACGTATGCTTTGAATGCGCATATGGATAGAGCGGAGATCCATTGTACATCCCTCACACTGCAATCCCTTTGGCTAAGAGTGTAAGTCTCTGTGCAGTCATTGTTATGCTCAGTCCCCTCCTTTCCCCTTCTTCCTTCTACTGCTATCTCTGTTCATCCAATTCCTTCAAAGAATCCCTCTCAACATGCGACAACAAAAATTTCCGTTCATGTTTTCGTTGTCCGGGAGCGATTCCGGGTAAGGTTACTAGTATTGAAAAAGAAAGATTAGCGGATTATATTGAGCGGATTACTTCTTCAAAAGTGATTTGAGGTAGATGGCTTTTGTGCCATTACCACTTCAGATTAGTCACACTCAACTGGGAGGGGGTTGTGCACAACAACAATAGAGCGAACTTTAGTCAAAAGTTTTCTGTGATATCGTAGGTAATACTTGAAAGTCGTTTCGTTTTTTTTTCGGGTGGCTAGATTATTGTTGTAAAACGACCGACATTTCGGCAATTTTTTAGGGTCTGAAAAGGATGCAGCTCTTCACCTGTTTCTACCGTCAAATGTCTCTTACTTGCCGCGCCTAAAATATGGGCTAAGGCTCGCCACTGATCGAAAATCAAACTCAATGATGCTAGAAGAGATACTAAGTGTGTCTAATAGCGAGCACGCATAACTCACAAGAAGAAAAAATCACTTCAATACATTCGTTTCTGTTTTCCCTATCTGA